GAGCAGGGCTGGGGGGCTCTTCCACCGCCTCCCCTCTGCGGGGTTGCCAGAGCAGCGGCTGGGAAATTGTGCTGACACCAGCAAAACGGGCCAGGCGTAGGCGGGGGAGTCGAGAGCCCACGTGCTTCGGCCTGATAATGGGGGGCCGCGGGGGCTGCGGGGAGCTGGAGCTGCCCAGCTGGGGGGGCCCCCACGCAGGCGAGATCTCCCCCAGCCTCCTCCTGTTCACCCCCCAGCCCCAGGGACTGGGGATGCTGCAGGGGCGGGGGAAGCTGGCTGCAGGGCGAGATGTGCAAAGGGGGAAAGCGTGCAGGAGCGAGCAGGAGCGAGCAGACAGGAGGGAGCAGGCAGCGTGCTGGGCAGGGAGGAGGCCAGCGAGCGTGCGAGGCAGTGGGGATGCCCAGCACACCCTGAGCAGGGCCATCGCCTGGCCTGGCCGTACAGCACAGGGTCGCACCGATGCGGCGCCTGCCCCAACGTCCCTTCTTGCCTCAGTTTCCCCACCGACGCGCCGGGCCGGATAACCCCTCGCTAGCCACGGCCCCACAGAAAGCGCCCGCTGCGGGCTGGGGCCGGGGCAATGCCGAGCACCCACCCCACCGCAGCACCCAGCACCCTGCAGCTCCTCGGGGGGGTCCCAACCCCAGCGCAGCTGATGCCGCTGGCCGGTCCCGGTCCCCCTTAACCGGGGCAGAGAGCGACCTTAACAGGGAAAGTGAGAGGCTGCCAGGCCTTATCAGAGAGTATTTACAGCCGCTGTGTTCCCAATTAGACAGTCAGGTGACTGCGGCTGCTGGGGACCCAGACGCCGGGGTCAAGGTCGCTGGGGGGGGTGGTGGCAGAGGGGCAGCCATCTCCCCGGGGACAGCCGCCGGCTGCGGCGTGGCCTGGGAACCCACCAGCACCCCGATGCGGCACGCCAAGAGGTATAGGGGACCCCATCATGGCCACCGTAGGGCTCCCAGTCCAGCCCAGTACAGGGTACCCCCCAGCCCAGTGTGACACTACATCCCCAGCCGAGCCAGCGCAGGCTGCCCCCAGTCCAGCCCAGTATGCAGCACTCCCATCCTAGGCAGTATGGGGTGCCCCCAGCGCAGCAGGCAGCACCCCAGTTAACCCCAGTACCCCATCCCAGTTCAGCCCAGCATGGCCATGTCTGAGCCCAGTACATGACACCCCTCTACCCTGCCCAGCAGTCGCTGCCCCATCCTGCACAGAGCACCCACACCCCCACCCCAGCCAGCACCCGGGGCACCCCCGTCCCCAGCACAGCACCCACGGTTCCCAATGTGGCACTGGGAAACGGCAGCACCCAGTCCTGTTGGGCCTCATCCTGCCTCTGAGCGGGCAAGCCACGTGCGTGGGCATGGGCGTACAGCACCAGTACCACGTGTGCGCACACGTCAGGAGATGCGGCTGGGCAGGCAGGTCCTGGGTGCACACGCGTGTGTGACCGCACATGTGCGCCCCCTGCCACTGATGGCCCATGCCCACCGCCTGCCTGGGGTCCCACCTGGGCCCTGGGGCAGGATCCGGCCCTGGCTATCCACTAGCAGAGGCTGTGCCCTGCTTTTCTCCAAAGCCACGAGAGCTTGGCAGGCCCCTCCAGCGCTCTGCCCGGGACGCACGGCTCCCTGGGGAGCATTGCGGGGGGGGTGTCACACGCCCACCATGTCTCAGTTTCCCCAGTGACACCCAGTGCATCCCATTGCTGGCCAGGCAGGGGCAGAGCCATCTCTGGCTACCCATGCCCACCGTGATTCATGGTGCTGGCACCCCTTTTGTTGGGATTGCCAGCACCACGGTGCCGTCTGTGGTGTCATTATCCATCCCTGGGCCCTGGCCAGTGCCGGGCAAGGAGCCACAAGCCCCACGCTGCCCCTGCCGTGGTGTTGATGGGGTCAGGCTCACGGGGATGGGGGGCATGGCTGGGGGGCATCACCCAGTGCTGCAGGCATGGACAGGGGACTGCTGCCAGGCGAGGACTGGTGTCCTGGTCCCCACACACCTGGGCAGCCTGGCCTGGCCGTGGGGTTGCCATGAGCCCTTCGACCACCCCTTGGGGGTCTATATCGCAGTCCCCCCTGACTCTGCATCATCCCTGCGAAACCAAGCCCTGCCCTTGCCTGTGGGGATCATGCAGCATCTCCCCAGGCTCCTCATCTGCCTGGGGGTGCTGGGGGATGTTGGGGTCTGTGGGGGACCCCAGCTGCTAGGACGCTGTCTGTGCCAGCATGTCACCAGCCAGGAACAGCAAACCTGCCTGGGTAAAATAAGATCTGACCCGAGCTACTACAAGCTTCCCTTTCCCAACACGCAGGGAGGTGGCATGAGCCAGCAGATGATGGCTTAGGGACCTAATCTTCTGAGCCTGGAAACTGCCATCTGCCCTGCCCACCGTGCCTCAGTTTCCCCCTTTCGATTGTCAAGGCTTCGAGAGTGGATCTGACCCTCACTCCTTGCTGTAGTGAAACCAGCCCAGTCTCCCCAGGTCTGTGGGACCCCCAGGCAGGTGAAGGGCAGTGGTTCAGCATCCCCTCAGTGCACAGCAGGAGCTACTGGGGTTTGCCCCCGCTGGCGTTATCACCGCCCCCTCCCCAGCCGGCCTCAGCCGCTCCTGTCCCCTCCTCGGTCACCCTCTGGGCGAGGGGCTGGGACTGCAGCCCACGGCAAACTGGCACTGCTGGACCGTTCCCAGCTCCAGCCCTCGGGGGGTGCGCCAGGAACAGGCTGTCCCTTCCCTGCCCACGCCGCCCACCCGCTCCTCGCTGGGCTGCCGGCACAGGCAGCCACGTCAGGCAGGCGCGGGATGTGGGGTTAAGCCCCCCGAGATCCCCCTCTGGGGATGCTCAGAGCAAGGAGCATCCTCAGGGACCACTCGCCTCCTCCCCTGCCTGGCATGTGCCTCCCAGGGCAGCCAGGATCTGTCCTGGCTGGGGAAGAGGGGCTGCATGGGCAGGGTGGGGGGCACCCACTCGGGCAGCAGTCTGGAGAGAGGGGAGCACTGGGCTTCTCTTTGCGAGGTCTGCAATGGGAAACGTGTCCCTGAGCCAGAGGCAGGGATGGGACAGACATCGGAGGGGATGGGAAAACGCGAAACCTCCCCCAGGGGAGCCGGCTCTGGTGGGGACGCATCCTGGCTCTGCCCCGCAGACGGACGAGCACCCACCTCTCTCGCGGACAAAGTAGGCCAGGTAGAGGTCGAGCTCCTTGACGGAGACGCTGATGTGGTGGGGCTGGACGCAGAGGATGGGGTTGGTGCACTGGCCCGACTTGACCAGGCGCTCGCCGTCGGTGCTCTCCAGCGGGATCCCTTTGAAGAGGATGACCATGACCAGGTCCAGCCGCCAGACCTTGTCCGCCTGCCGCAGGCAGTCGATGCGGCGCATCTTCCCCTTCTGGTCGGGGTTGGAGAGGACGCAGCACGAGGGCTTCTTGCCCGTGATGGAGAGCACGAAGTCCTCCCGGCACTCGGGCCGGATGTCCTTGCGCAGCTTGGCCAGGAGGCGCGAGGCCCATTTCTGCTTCACCTCCGGCTTCTCGCTCAGCAGCTCATCCTTCACCGCCCTCTCCTCGTCCTTTGTCATCCTCTTCTCGTGCTTCTTGAAGTACTTGCGCTTACGGGCCTGCAGGTTGAACCAGGTGTAGGCGAAGGCCCGGACGTGGGGGAGCAGCGCCTCGATGAAGGGGTGGAACTCATCCTGCGGGAGCAGAGGGACAGGCGGTCACTCCCGGCTGAGCCCCCCCCTCCAAACCCACCCCAGGATGGCTGGTGAGCCCGTGGGGACCCACCAGGGACATCCTCACCACGCTGCATCCCAGCGCAACCAGGAGGAAGAGCTGTAGCAGAGGCGCATGCCCGCCAGGGACGGGGAACCCCTCCCCACGCAGCAGGACCCCCCGCCGTCCTGGCAGGCGCCCATAAATCCCACCGGCTGCAATTCTCCCAGGCCTATCACTTGCCGGGGGTGGCTGGGGCATACCGGAGCCTGCGGTGTCACAGAAAGGCAGGCATTTGTGCCAGGCACGCCGCCTCGGCAGCGCCCGGACACTGTCCCCTCCCCACCCACGCATGCCAGGATCTGCTCCCGACAGGCGCAGAAATCCCACCTGACATCACGCCCACCGGAGCCGCCATGCCGGTGCCAGGCACTGCCAGACCACAGCACCCAAGGGACGGGTCCCCCACAGCCCCAGTATCCCAGGTGCTCCTTGGACCTCTCCACTCGCTCCGGACCAACGGGAAACTCCCCCAGTTTGCCCCAGTTGCGGCCAGCCCAGTGGCTGGCACCCAGCCCAGTGTACAAGGCATGCTCTGACTGTCTTTTTCCATTTGGTGAGCGCTGCTGGATGAGTCCGGCCCCAAAAGAAAACAAGGAAAATGCATCCCCCTCCCTGGCCCCTCCTTCCCACATCCCTTTTTTTTTTTTTTTTTTTTTTTCCCCAGTTCGGAAAATCAGTGCTTCCTGGCTGGGGAGGCCCACAACCCTCCCTGTGGGATGGAGAGGTGGTGGGAGCCATCCCAGTGGGGAGTGGCACAGCTTGGAAAATGGCAGGGAGAGGGCCAAGCATCCCTGTGCCTGGCCAGAGCAACAGCCAGCTGATCCCCAAGGGCAGGATTTGGCCCTCCGGGTCCCTCATGACGGGTGATGATGGGGAGGAGGGAGAAGCCCAGCTCGGCACTCAAGTTCCGCCGCAGGCTGCCAGGGCTGGGCGGGGGGTGGCTGGTGGCAGCTGCCACCGCCGTGCCACGGCCCCAGTTCACAGGGTCATGCCCGGGTTTGGGTTACCCTCCCAGCCGGGAGGGTGCCAAGCGCAGGCGCTGCTCCGGGGAACGACCCAGGAGGCGGCTGTGGCAGGAGCTGGGGGAGGACGGAGCCCTGGCAGTGGGATGGGGCGAGCGGCTCTGGAGACAGCGGCTGGCCTCACTCATCCTAGGGCAGCGATGCCACTGCCCGGCTGAAGCAGCCGTGTCCCAAAATGATGCTGCTTGGAGGGAACAGTGGCCCCTGAAGCGGGCTCCCAGCAGGGACTGGCCCCATAAAGACCCTGCTAACTCCCACTTGGTCCCAAGTCCAGCACAGACCCCATTAACCCCAAACCAGCCCTCTGAGCAGCCAGCACAGATCCCTCAGCGCAGCCCCTGGTGTCCCCTGGACCAGCATCCCTGGCACAGACCCCGCTGTGACCTGGCACAGGCATCCCAGCACAGACCCTACCATCCCCTGAACCCAACACAGATGCCAATAACTGCCAGCACCAACCACCAGCACAGCCCCACTAACCCCAAAAAACTCCCCCCAAGCACAGACCCCATTATTTGCCAGCACAGACCCAATGCCCCAGCACAGACCCTGCCATCCCCAGGAGCTGAAAGCCCCTGCTCCGGACCCAGCTCCACCAGAGCTGTGACCCCGCAGGTGTCCCCCCCCATACCCCACAAGGGACAGGGAACCCATTCCACCCATGGGGACCCATCCCACCCATGGGGACCCATCCCTGCCCGGGGGACTCATCCTGCCAGGGGAACTCATCCCTGCCTGGTGGGCCCATCCCCGCCGGCTGCTCCCAGGTCAGCTGCAGCCCCGCACGGCTGCAGGGTCTGGTTCCCTCCCCAGCAGCAGCCGCTAATTCAGTGCAGCTGGGCAAGGGCTGGGCATGTGTCTTAAATCAGGGAAGAAGGTCAAAGAAAAGTAAGACAGGAGCCGAAAAAAGCAGCAGCGAGTTCCAAAAACAATACTTGGCCGGGGAGGTGGGCGGCTGATCTTCCTTGGTGGCCGGTTATTCAGACGAGCCCTACAAATTGCTGCCATCCCCCGGCCCCGCCACCCTCCCCAGGCAGCCGGCGGCAGGGCTGGCCGCAGGGCCGGGGGGGGGACACAACACCACGCCATTGTCCCCGTCCCTGCCCTCCTGCTGGGTAGTGCCACCCCGGCCACTGCTGCAGGGAAGTTGGGCAAGAACCAGGTTAGCCCTTTTTGGGGGAGGCAGCACCCTTGGGTGCTGCTCGCCCTCACTGCGAGGGCCAGGGGATGCTCGGTGCCCCGCCACAGGGCAGCAAGTGCGAGTCCCAATTTCTGTGGAACGCCGTGTAGGTGCCGGCTTTCCCCCCTCCACCACGGTGCCGAGGATGTTCAGATCCCGCTCAGACCCACGTCCGGGACCCCTCACCAACCCTTCTGCATGCAGAAGCCCCTATAGCTCTCGATGCCCCCGAAGCCATCGTGGGCCCCCCCGTCCCAGGATTACGGCAGGACGGGAGCTACACCGAAAGCCAATCAGCCCTTTGCCAACTTTCCCTCCCGCCCAGCTTATCCCGCGCCGAGATGCCGTGCGGAATTAAGCTGCTTTAGCGGGGCCAGGCGAGGGCAGCCGGGGGGCACCAGGACAGCCAGACGGGTGGGATGGCTGCAGCTGGGTACCGACGGGACAAGCTAAATGACTTGGGGACCGTCCCCGTGCCCTGCATCCCCACCACGCCGCCAGCACCGTGCTGCCAGTGAACCCCTCGGCCAGGCACGCCGCCCCGGCTGACACCGGCCAGCTTCACGCTCAGCTCCGCTTTGGAAAGCAAAAGCAGGGATGCGCTTTCCATCTGTCCCCGTCCCTGATCCCCGCCGGCCCCCCCACCCCAGCCGGCAGCATGGCGCGCCGGCAAAGGGCTGGTTAAGTGTTTCTCCTGCTGTTTTTCCTTTGTGGGGCTGGGAAGCAGAGACGTGCTGCAATACCCCAGACGAGGCTGCTCCCGGGGCATTTCCGGATGGGAATCTGGCAGCAAAGCCTGTGCTTGGGCCTCATCCAGCCCGGGCTTGTAAAGCCCCACGACCCGGGGAGGAGCAGGCCTGTGTCGGGGTGCTGCCGGCCCCGGCACAGGGCCCCCCTCGCGCCCCCCTTCCAGGGACCGGTGGAGCACTGACTTTGTGCCAAATGCTGCGAGGGGAAACTGAGGCACGCGTCAAGCCCGGATCTGTCCTGGTGTCAGTCCTGCCGTGGAGCAGCGTGGAGCCGGACATGCCACGCCAGGATTAACTCCTTCGGCAGCCTGGGTTTTAGCAGCGCCAGGGAGCTGGCAGGGGCACAGCCGAGGCACTGCCTCTCACTGTGCTCCTGCCCGTCCTCACCAGCTCAGCACTGGTGCTGGGGCTCTGCACCCCGGCTGCTCGGCCACAGCGGGTGCCTTCCACCCCGGGGACGGCAAGGGATGCTCTGTGCCACACAGGGACACAGCACCAGGCACGGGCACTGTGACAGGGCACCGCAGCATGGGCCGGCCGGGCCTCCGAGCATCCTCCGCTTGAGCGCCTTGCCCAAACAGGTCGGGCTCAGCGAAACAGCCTGAATTTTCCAATGCAAAAAAACGTTTCCTCAGGAAATTCCCGAGCAGTTTTTATGGCGGGGGGGGGGGGGGGGAGGGGGGGGGGGGGGGGGGGGGGGGGGCGGGGGGGGG